TAATTATCTGAATGATATTTCACAATAGAGATCCAATGACAACTAATAGACTACTTAAGGAAGAGAAGTGAGGTCTCAAGTATGATTTTCATAAAGTGTCTTAATTTCCTCATCCATAGCTGATTTTCATCCAAGAGATATTAATCCTTGATTCAAAGAGCTAGTAACAAATGCAGAATACAAAGCTGATACAAAACAACAAAATGATGAGAAAAGTCATTGCGAAGAGATAAAATTAGAAATGGGATGCTGGGTATAAGTAGGAGTATCTTTTCGCAATGCAATAAGCAAATTAGAAGAGGGTGATACAGTAAACGACTCAAGAGGAAAGACATTAGTAGAATCAAGCATTGGCCGGGGAGTTGGAGCATAGGAAACAACAAGTCTATTCGTGGAACAATGATAAACTTACAATGGAGGGTCAAAAATCGGAGAGGGAGAAGCTATACTATTTGATATAGGGGTAATATGAGTTCCCCTGACTAGTAGAGATTAAATGTAGAGAGAAAATATTGCCAAAAGCAAAATAAATGAAAATGACTCAGAAAAAAGTAACATCGACACTGACATAGTACCGGTGAACGGCAATGTCATAATAACGATAACCTTTTTGAGTATGAAAGTATTCAAGAAAGACACACCTAACCGAGTGCGGAGAAAGTTCATCCCGACTCGGACGAAGAAGTGAACAAATGCAACACAATCAAAGACACGAGGAGTTAGACCAAAACGTGATATATCAGGGTAGAGCAAGGAAAACAAAGATTTATTACTTAAGATGGAGGAGGGCATCTGATTAATAAGATAAATTATAGTGATGACATCATCTTCCCAATAAGGCTTAGGTACATACATGTTAAACATGAGAGTACGAGCAACTTCCAATAAATGACGATGTTTTGCATTCTACAACATCTTTTTGTTGGGATGTATATGGGTGTGTAGTCTGATGATACTATGGTCATGAAGCTGATGATCTTTGTTATCTTGACTTTAATACATCTCCTCAGGCCTTTCAAACCTTGTAATCTCCCTTTTAGTGGCACTATTGGCATGGTCATCCTTCGCTCCAGAATTTGAAGCACCAAGATCCTAGTCTTAGTCATGTGTCGTCAGTGTCTTGTGAAGCTTGTCAACTTAGTAAGCATTACTATGTTTCCTTTCAGTTTAGAGTCAATAATCATGTATCGAATCAATTTGTTTTGGTTTATTCTGATGTATGGGCCCAATAAAGAATATTTCATTTAATAAATTTTTTTAGCTTGTGTCATTTGTGGATGATTATTCTCGTGTGATTTGGTTATTTCTTATGAAAGTTGGTTTTGAATTATGCTCTATATTTGAAACCTTTCGTTAAGAAGTTAAAACACAATATAGTTGTTACATTCGTATTCTCCGTTTTGATAATTTTAGAGAATATGAGTCTGATCCTTTATCCTCTTATCTTCGTAAAACTGACATTATTCATCAAGCCTCTTGTGCCTATACCTCTCAGCAAAATGGTGTTGTTGAGTGTAAGAATCAATATCTGTTGGAAGTTGTTCGTGCATTATTATTTCAAATGCATGTACCTCGTGTTTTTTGGAGTGATGCTGTTCTTACAGCTTGTCACCTTATTCATTGCATGTCGTCTTTTGTGTTAAATGGACAAAGTGCATATTTAGTCTTTATACCTCACACCGCCTTATTCTCCTTAACTTTTAAAGTTTTTGGGTGTGTTTGGTATGTCCATAACTTGGGGCCTGGGTTTGATAAACTTGATCTTCATGCTACCAAATGTGTCTTCCTTGGATATTCTTATACACAAAAGGGGTATCGATGTTATAGTCCTACTCTTCGTCGGTACTTCACTAGTATTGATGTCACCTTTAATGAAGAAGTTCCATATTTTTTGGCTCTTGAACAACCTTTGGATCTTGTCTCTGGGCAGTCTACACCACAATCTCGTCCCTTACTGTTGCCTACTCCTCTTTCTATTGTATCCCTATCTCCTACTCTGCTTCGTGTATACTCCTGTCGTGCACAATCATCAGCTAAAGTGCCCTTGCCAGCTTCCTTGCCGTCTCTAGATCCGAGTTCTTCAAGTAATTTCGACTCCTTACAATTGCTTTTAGGAAAGATACTTGATCATGTTTTACTAATCATCCTATTGGTAATTTTGTTTCTTATGATGCATTGTCTCCTGTCTTTTCCTACTTTATCTCGTATCTGTCTACTATCTCTATTCCTAAGACTCTACAGGGTGCTTTGTCTGATTCGGGTTGGAGAAAAGTTATGAAAGTTGAAATGGATGCCTTACATCAGAATGGAACTTGGGATCTTGTTCCCTTATTGCCTGAAAAACGGACGGTTATTTGTCGATGGTTGTACGGTGTTAAGTTTAGTTTGGATGGTACTATTGAGCGTCTTAAAACTCGCCTTGTTGCTAAGGGTTTCACTCAGACCTATGGTGTTGATTATGCGGAGATATTTTCTCCTGTTGCCCTCCTTTGTGCGTGTTTTAATTCTTTGGCTGCTAATTTTAATTAGTCCTTGTTTCAATTAAATGTCAAGAATACATTCTTGTATGGTGACTTGAATGAGGAGGTCTACATGGAGTAGCCACCTGAGTTTACTGTTTAGGGGGAGTATCGTAGGAGTGTGTGTCGACTGAATAAATCTCTGTATGGTATGAAACAGTCACCAAGAGTACGGTTTAGTAAATTTTTAGATGCAGTAATAGAGTTTGATCTTCTTGATGTCAGACAGATCATTCTATTTTTCACAGATAGACAGATGCAGAGTACACTCTATTAGTGGTTTATGTTGATGATATCGTAATCACTTATAATGATTTTGAGGGTATTAATCAGTTAAAATTATTTCTGCAAGATAAATTTCATACGAAAGATCTGGAAAAACTTAGATACTTCTTGGGTATTGAAGTTACCAGATCTAAGCAGGGTATCTATCTATCTCAAAAAGAAATATGTATTTGACATGCTAGAAGAGATGTTTACTGGGTGGTAGACCAATTGATGTTCTTATGGATCCAAATCAGAAGTTGTTGATGGAGGATAGTGCTTTATTTGATAATCTAGGTTGATAACGCAGATTGATTGAGAAACTTATTTATCTCACTATTACCCGACCAGATATTGCGTATGCAGTCAGTACGGTAAGCTAGTTTATGGGATGTTCTAGAGTATCACATTGGGATGCAGCCATTCGTATTCTTCGCTCAAAAGTGCTCTTAGTCTTGGATTGTTATATCGATTTAATGGATATCTTCGAGTGGAAGGTTTTTTGGATGTTGATTGGGTTAGTTTTCCATCTGATCGGCGATCAATTATTGGTTATTGTACCTTTTTGGAAGGTAATGTTTAAGAAGGTAATGTTGTTTCATGGAAAAGTAAAAAACAAACAGTGGAAGCACGATCCAGTATTGAGGCTGAGTATAAAGTAATGACACATACAACTAGTGAGTTGACATGGTTATTATACTTTATTTAGGAAATTGGCTTTCTAGTTCAGCTATCGTTACAACTGTTCTGTGATAATTAGGCAGCCATTCATATTACTGCCAATCTAGTGTTTCATGAGAGGACCAAACATTTTGAAGTTGACTATTATTTTATTCGAGACAAGATACTAAGTGGAGACATTGCAACTCTGTTTGTGAGATTTGAGGCTCAACTTGTAGACATGTTCACCAAAGTGTTGAGTCGTACTCGTCTTGCGGATATTTGTTCCAAGTTTAGATTATATGATATTTATAATCCAACTTGAGGGGGAGTGTTGAGAAAGCTACTATAATATAATTAGGGTTTACGTTTATTGTAATATGCATACCACACAATGGGTATACTCGTCTTTGTTTCTTTGTTCAGTAACTATAAATACAAGATTAGTAGTGGGAGGTAGGGTAAGCCAAAATCTCTGTTTGCCTCTCTCGTATTGTGTTAAATTTCTCTCCAAACTTAACACTCGGTATAAAACAAATGCTAAAAAAGTTTATAGATTTGGGACACATTATGTTCTCGTGAGTACATCTCCTCAAGAGAGCCCCACATCTTTTTAGTTGGATGAATAAGTTGAATATTAGAAGCTACACAAGGCTTCATTCTAAGCCTCAACCGAGGCATCACCAAGAAATTCACTCCACTAGTCTTCAGAATTTTAGGAAATCTTGAGAGGGGACTCTCATTTAGATACTTGACTTTCCTTTCGGCACACAAGAAAACCTTAATGACATGGGCCCAAGAATAATAATTGTGTCCATTCAATTTAACAGAAGTGATTTGTCGAACTTGGATCATCCATGGAATGAACTTGTCTAACCTGGTCATCAATGGAAGTATACTCAACATCCTCCAAAGTAGCCTGGTCATCAATATTGAAGCCACAACAACACAACAATAACAGATCACACCACCAGATCTCAAAACCTAACACAGGCCAAAAAAAAAAACCAAAATACACAGATTGGGAACAGTTTGGACACTGTTCAGGCCAAAAATAGTGCTGTCAGCACTTTTGCTCAAAAAACACCTTTAAACCAGCCAAATAAGGCTGGGCGACTCAGGAAACTCACCCTCAGTCCAAATTGGTACCCATAGACGTCAGCAACTGTGATGTTCCAAAAACGGTTCTGCAATATTTTCCAACATTATATAATGTTGAATTGATGCTTTAATACCAAGTTGAGATGATAAAAGTAATATTAGGGTCAGGACGAAAGGAGAGAATGAGAGGAAGAGAGAGAGAAGTGATGCAAATAAAAAAAGAATAATCAGTTGTGTAGGTTGTGTTGCTCTACACTCTCTTATTTACAACTGGCTAATATTTAGGGGAATTACAATATTACACTAATTAACTTAAGTCTAATATAGAAAATAAATGCTATGGCAGATTTCTCAATTTAAATTGTAGTTAAAGAAAGATAAATGGGATTTTTGGACTTAACTACCAATTAGTGATTCATACTTAATGGGGCCGTCTTTCATAATTTTTTTTGACAAATGACAAGTCCTATGTGGTATCAGTATCACCTATATGCTCCTCCATCGTCTCGCATTTACACGTCATTTGTTCCCATTTTTTATTTAGCCAACTATGGTTGGGGAAGTAATCAACTTGCATGGGTATCAGATGGGGTTGCTAATGGTATGGGCACTTGTATTTGGTTTGGAATTGGTTGAGTTTTAAGGCCGATTTTGGTCGGAATTTGATTGTTAAAGGTTGTAGAATTTCTGAACAACAAATGGAACTTAAGATGTTGGGTCTAGAACGGAATGATAAATAAGGTTTGGGGTTCGTTCATGATTTTGGGGTCAAAGTTTCAAGGCTGATGATGAATTCAGGGTGTGGTTTTGGCTGTGAATTTGCAACAACGAAGCTTTATTAATATAACGAAGAAGTAGGAGAAGCAAAGTTTGCAAATAATGTTTCCAGAATGTTTGTTGAACTGTCGGTTTATAGACTTGTTTATATAGACGTATAACCAACACAATTTTGAACCTAGCCAATTTAGAGTTCCCTTGGGCCCTAAGGACTTCGTAAACTATATTGGAGTTAAATAGTTCGCAATATATAAATGAGAAACATAAATCTATTATCCGACAAATAGTATTCCCAAAATACTCCTAATCAACAATAGGCTCTGATCATGTGACACTCCTAAACCATTGGTAAATTGATAGGGACCCACATGAGCTTTTCTCTTTTTCTTCCTTTTCCATTCATTGGTGGTAATATTTTGATCCCCTGCACCTTTGTGTTTGAGTTTCATTTCTTTGTACTATGGTCCTTCAAGTATGCGTTCTTGTCTCTATTTGGTCCCAATTTTTTCAATTGTGCGATTTTAATCCATAAAGTTTTTAATTTGACTCAATATGGTAGAATCGAAAGCGGTGGCTTATAATTGATAATGGAAGTTGCTACGTGTATCACGCGATTAGACATGTGGTCACTTCCATTAGCAATTTTGAACCGCCGTTTTTTATCGGACCATTTAGTGACAATTTGGCAACTTTGGGTTAAAGTCATTCAATTCAACGAAGGAGGACAAAAGTGTGATGGAATGCATAGTTTAGTTACCATTACAATATTTATCCTCTACCAATGGATAACAATTTAATATTAGCTAAAAAAAGAGGAAGGAATAACAATTATGAATAGGGGTATTGTAATACTACTGCATGAGATGTTCATGAATTTGGAAATGTTTGATCAACTTCATGCATTTTATTTTTTGTCTTACAAGCTGAGAAAGTCTTTGTTCACCTTGGAGTGCAATTTTCAATCTAGTTGCTCAATTATAGGTATTATTGATTGTCATTAGTTTGAAGATGAGTGGCACTGAGGCCTTGTAGTATATTTTTATATTAATTTTTTGTTGTCATTCTATCCCAGGTAACATTGCAAATTATCTAAAGCTTTTGGAAGTTGACTCCATTTACCTTCCGGTCCCTGTCAATTTCATTTTTATAGGATTCGAAGGAAAGGGGAACCAAGGTATGTCAATCTATTGGTTGGTTCCTTCACTGGCTTAGTATCTGGTTTCTAAATTCAATTGTAACAGTCAGGTTTTTTATCTGGCTTCTGTTTGTCTTACTGCTATAGAACTTAAGCTGCATGCTGAAGAACTCGAGCGCTGGTTCACAAAATTAGATCACATTTTTGAGCATACACGAATTCCGCAAATAGGGGAAGTTCTCACTCCATTTTACAAGATTAGCATAGACAAAAAACAACGTCACCATCTGCCTCTTACCAGCCGTATAAATTACAAGTAACATTTCTCTTTACCTTTTTATTGATTGTTTGTCAAATTTTTCATCCTAGCAGCTCATGTTCCTGAAGAGTTGGGTGTTCATTTTATTCATAGAAGTTTACTATTATTAAATGTTTGTGCAGTTTTTCGGTTCATGCCATCCAAATGGGCGAAAAGGTCACGTCCATTTTTGAGCATGCCATTGATGTTTTTGCCCGCAAGGATGAGTTGTCAAATACGAGGTAATTATCAAGTCTCTCCACATTTTCTGATTTTTGGTGCAAAAGTAGTTTTGCTTGTTCTATCTTGCTGCTTTCTCAATCTTCATTTGTTTTGTGACTATAGAGATGATAGCGGTGGCCTCTGGCAAGTTGATATGGACATGATGGATGTTCTCTTCACCAGCCTTGTGGAGTATTTGCAACTAGAAGATGCATATAATATCTGCATTCTGAATCCCAAGCGTGATGCAAAAAGAGCTAAATATGGTTACCGGTTCGTTAGGACGTTGAACATTATTATTTTGTGTTTCTGTTTTGCAAATAAAAAGTAATAGCACCAAAATACCACTTGATGAAGCACACCTATGTTGCTTCTTGCCTGTCCTGGCTTGAAATTCTTGCCATTATGTGTAAGATCTGCATGACCAGGCCGGAAAGAAGGGTGTTCAGGATCCTGATCCTGCGGCTAAATTTCAAATTTTACTGGTGTTAGTAAACCAAACACTCCCATGTTCCTCTTAACCCTGTGGTTATTTCGATGAAGTTGCTTCCATGAGTGGTTTAGATGGTAATGCTTTCCTTTTTAAGTTTCAATTTCCACAAGTAGTTGCCAGACATGGCAGCTATGGTGCTTGTTTGTCCACTTTTTGTACGCTAGCCAAACACATTGCTCTGGATATTGGTTTGTGGAAGGAAATCGTTTATTATCATATTGTGGGTCTTTATAATCTCAGGGCCAAGATTCCTCCCCACGTTCAAAAAAAAGAAGAAAATGATTCAAGCAACAGTAGTTCATGCCTTGGAAGTTTCTGTTATATTATGCATCTTTCCACTATTTCTCCTGCAAAAAGATCTCTTGGAATGTTGATCCACTTACCTTGGACAATGAATGTAATATCTGGCTGCGTATGCTGCTAAGAGCCTAGCTTACACTCTCTCTCTCTCTCTCTCTATATATATATATATATATATATCCAAACCAAAGCAAACCAAACTAAACTAAGCCTTATGTTCCAATCATTTGGGGTCGGCTATATGAGTTCGTCTTTGCCATTCATTTTGTTCATGTGCTATACACTCATTTCAGTTAAATATTTTTATATCTTTTCTTATTATTTTATTCAATGTTAATTTAGGTCTACCCCTGCTCCTAGTACAATTATGAGAAATTCTATCACTTTTTTTTACCCATTGCCTCTGTTGGCCTCCGATGAACATGATCAAACTATCTTAATCTATTCTCTCTCAACTGTACTTAATTGGAGCTAATCCTACCATTTCTCTAATACAATCATTTCGTATTTTATTCTTTCTAGTTTTTTCACATATCCACCTTAACATTTTCATTTCCGCTGCACTCATATTGTCACTATGTTGTTTCCTAATTGCGCAATATTCTGTCCCATACAACATTGTTGTCTTTATAGCTGATCAGTAAAACTTGCCTTTCAATTTTATATATATATATATATATATATATATATATATATATATATATATACATACACCTACGCGCACACGTTTGTCTGTGTGTGTTTGCATTTATGAATGTGCAAATAAATCCCATTGAGGCTTCCTGATTTCAAACAATCTACAACTAAACGTGACCTCTCTTGATGTTGCGAGGGCTGAAACATCAGGATGGCTCCCTAATATGTATCCAGTGTCTGCTTGTGGTAGTTAAATGTTTGGATACTATCTCCTGTGTACTGTAAAAATGAAATTTATGGATCTGAAATTTGTATATGAATGATCTAAAGGAATGGTGAAAAATAGTTATCAATATTGCATGTTGGCCTCTTTCTTTGGGTGTTAGTGCATGACCTGAGTTGCTTGCGAAAGCCACACCATTTATTGAAATTTTCTATAAAAATCTCTTAGCACCGGTGCTTGCACCATGGGAGTTCTACTTTATACAGCCCACATTGCACCCCGACTCTCTGATGCCTAATAGGATGATGTTTCTCTAATTTAGAAGTTTGACAATGTTATTGTGGTCATTATATTTATCTCTTGGATTTTAAAGCCTGTTTCATTATTAATACTTGTATTGGTATTTCACTAATTTGCAGGAGGGGATTATCTGAGAGTGAAATAAACTTGCTTCAGGAGGTAAATTCTTTCTTCTTTATCCCCTCATATGTCCCTCTTCCTTTGTTGGATGCCTATGATAAACTCTGTTTGAGTATGACCATTAATCATGAATCTGTTTGTGGCTAGTTTATTTGGACTACTAATTTTACAAATTTTTTAAAAGGTTTTTTGGTGGTAGTCGTCCTCTACTGTGGTTCTTGGTGCCTATTTAGGAATCTTTGGTTGAAGTAGTACTGACAGGATTTTGCTATGCAGAATAAGAGCTTACAAGAAAAAATTCTTCAGTCAGGACGTGTTTCAGAAAGTGTTCTAGGTATGCAAAACCTAACATTCTAATTTCCTACGGCTATGGGATATGTTTTGTCAAATTGTTTTTAAGAAATTAATAATGTTCTAAATATGACGTGTTTTGTCAGCTCTTGAAAAAATCAAGAGACCTCTGTACCATAAGCATCCAATGGAAAAGTTTTCCTGGACGATAACTGAAGATACTGACACGGTCAGTTTTATTTTGTTTGAATTCTTAAAATATGTTAATCTTTATGTAACAAGTTTTCCTGTAAAGCATTACTTTATTTTCCCTTTTTTTGTACAAATAGGATTTACAATGTCTTGAAAAAAATTAGTACATTGTTATTGAGATTTGAGAAATGTCGTAACTGAAGTAGAAATAGTATATATATGCCTCATTTAATATATTGGAGGCTTGCTCTTGTTATCTACGAGGCAAAAACAGCATTTCTTCTGTCCACAAAATATTCAAAACTGAAGTACTGATCTAAATGAGGGAACACAATGTTAACCCATGTCGCCTATACCTTGTGAAGAATATATCAGAGATGCAATTGTCCGACAGTTGCTCAGCTACCAACTTTCCATAGCTTCCTACAAGGCTATAACCAATATGTGTTGCGTACAGAGCATTACGTTAAGAGGAGGCTTCACTTTATGACGAGTTGCTACGTTAAAGTAAAAGGATTTCACTTGATGGCCTGATAGATCCAGTTAGTAAAAAACACAATGGAAAAGTACAAAGAAATTTAAGTTCAGACTGTTTTGATTGTTTTCAGCCAATTTGTTTTTTGATAAGAAACAAAACACTTTTAAAAGTATGGTAGTACAAGGTCAAAAAAGGTGGACAAGAAGTCCAACTCAATCAGAAATCACAAAACTAGGACATTAAACATAAAATTACAGTCCACTTGAAGCTGCCCAACTCGAAATAATGCAAAATAGAGGAATATTCTCAAATTCCTTTGTCACTGATGCCCAAAATGAAGTCAAGAAATGCAATTGATTCCACAAGTATTATGTCTTCTTTTTTTTCTTAAAAAATTCTCGAATTCCTCTCCCTCCATAACACTCAAATATGGAAAAAATTCTCGAATTCCTCTCCCTCCATAACACTCAAATAGGAAAAAATTCACAATGCCAAAGTATCTTTCCTTAAAATTCATACTAAGCATAAAATTCATACTAAGCATAGATGTCATAGTTCTCAGAGCCACCCAAGAGAGACCAACAAAACTAAATAATTTGTTCCATAGTGAAAGGGCCAAAGGACAATGGAAGAACAGATGATCCACTCTCACACCTCCACCTCTATACATAACACATCGTTGTAGTGAAAGACTATTCATAGGTTTCCTTCTCTAAAGCACATCATTGGTATTGATCTTATTGTGAGCAATAATCCATGCACAAACTGACACATTTAAAGACACTTTAGCCTTCCAAATCTTCAAAGATGGAATAAATAAATGAATTGAAGAATCATCAATTAGAGACTTAAAATAAGATTTACAAGAGAAAATACTAGAGGAATTATTAGTCCAAACTCTTATATTCAAGAAATTGTAGACAATGTGAGACCATCAAGCATGGGAAGAAACAATAACAATTTTGAATGTTCTTTGTCATTAAAATTCCTACGAAACCTAAAGTCCCAACTAATTGGGAAGGAATAAGAAAAGCAACAGAAGCAATGATTTTACCATGACTAGAAGAAAGACAATAAAGGCGCGGAAAACATCTAAAAAAAAGGATGCTCCCTCCTCTAAATATCCTCCCACAACTGAACTTTTGTTCTATCTCCCGCTATGAACTTAACCCCATGAGAGAAACTAGGTAATCTATGAGAATTGAATTTTCACGGATTCTGGAAAGTACTCCTTTTAACCCCGTTGGAATCCCCCCTATATTTGCTCATATTAATCTCATGTCCAAAGATCAAAATATCGTTTTGAAACGGTCGAAACATTCAAAACATTTCCGTTTCCAAGAGACCGAAACGGATCATTGATGAAATCAAAATTCTAATACTTCAAGGTGTTTCATAATGTTTTGAAATGTTATATTTCAATGCATTTGCACAATTATTTTGGAATGTTTCAAGGTATTTTCAAGATATTTTGGTATTTTTCGACCAATATTTTGAAAAAATAGGTCTTAAATTTTTTATTTTATTTTATTTTATTTTTGAAACGGGTCAAAATGTTTCTGTTTCTGAGGCGACCAAAACGATGCATTGAAACAAAATTTTGATCCTTGCTCATATCGCAATGAATCTTGTTCTAAATGAAACATTTGAAGCCATTTCCCAACTAAAGCCAAATTTCTGTTCAACAAATTCCCCACAATAGACCTCCTTTAGCCCTAGGCTTAGACATAACCTCCCATCTAATCGAATGATCCTATTTCCATTTCCCACTTCCCTTCCATAAAAAATCCCTCGTCATCCCTTCAATCTTGTCACCAAATAAGACATCTTAAAGAGAGATAAGAAATACATAGGAATACTAGCCAATATAGACTCCACTAGCATTAATCTACCCCTTAGAAATAAAAGTTTTCTTCCATCCATCCAATATTTTTTTCAATTCTCTCAATAATAGGATCACAAAATATAATAGACAATGGACTACCACCTAAAGGAAAACTTAAATACTTCAATGGCCACTTACCCTCAATACATCCTAAATCCTTAGCCAATCTCTCAATTTTTTCCTAACTCAAATTAATTCCCACTATTTGGCTTTTTTTTTTATTTATTTTGAGCCCAGAAATGAGACCAAACGCTTCCACAATATGCTCTAAATTTTTAAATTTCTCCTTTATTCTTTGAGGGAAAAAAGATCGTGTCATATCCAAATTGCGAATGAGACAGAGATTCTTTTCTTACCAATCACAGAACTCTGTACCAAATTACATATCTCCACCCTCTTTATTAACCTACTTAACCCATTAACCACCGGTGTAAACAAAAAGAAGAGATAAATAATCCCCTTACCTAAGGCCCCTAGATGTTTTAAACCTCCCCTAGGTTTCCCATTTAAAATCACAAAAAAATTCATAGACCCGAACAACTATTAATTTGTCTCCTCCATCTCGCTCCAAAATTTTTTGTGTTGTTCCTGGATGGGGAACTCGATATGGATCTTCTCTCACGATTATACATGTAGAGACTAAGACACTATATGGGGGTGAATAGGTTTTTCGATTTTAATCCAAATCAGTTAACAATTAAAACTTATATCTATCACAATTACCTCTTCTCAATCAAATGCGGAATTGAACAATGAGAACTCCTTTAGTCACCACAACCACCTTTAACCATGACGAATGATTTTAATTAATCTTGAATTAATTTCCTTAAAATCAATCTCACGGTGATACCAGATCTCCAATCCAATTGCACAACCATGGTTGAATGAATGTTAATCAATCAAAACAACAAACACATAGTGTGTGTGTGCCAACAAATGCAAGTGTATACGATAAACAATAAATAATACAAGCAATTTGTTGACGCAAAAAACCTTCAGAAAAATCTGCAGGTAACCTTCTTGGTTCACTAAAGTTTAATCCAGTATTCTCCAAGTTAACATACAAGTACTCGAAACTTATAGTTCAATCAATACCATAGTTAGATGCTCATTTCCTTGTTGTGTCTTTTCATCGAAATTCCCTCTTTGACGTTTGGTGTACCTTCACTTGGGCCTCCCGCTGCACTGTTCGTTGAGGCCTCAAGCGATTATGGGCACACTAACAATCTTTGGTATGCAGACGCCAATGGGTTTGTCAACCTACAAGTTCTTCTTCTCCAAGTTGTGAAGCTGGGTAGAATCACTTGAAGTAGTCTTTCGATCTTAGGGATTTAGGTTTTGATGGAAGCTCTCAAAATAAAGGAATACATTTCTCTCTTTGAAAGGCTTTAGAGACTTAACCTAGATGTGGAAAATACGCTTCGTATATTTAGGTTCGGAATAAGGATAGTCTTAGTAAATAAGAAAACTCAAATTTGTGAACAATTATTCGATCGGTGGGAAGACGGTCATTAGGTGGTTGTCGCTCGAGTGTAAGCAATGCTTCAAACACGACTAAGGTAGTCACTATTTGAGCGACCATGGGTACCACTCGAGTGAGCCTTGTGTTGCTCGTGACCTTTTTTCATTTCTTTCTCTAAGCCATAAAGAGACCGCTCTAGCGAATATAGATCGATCTCTACAGGTTTTTAAGTATAAAATCATGCAAAATTTTGTCCTCTTGAGGACTAAAGGGTGTGGCTCGAAGAATGTTCAATTGTGGCTCATACTATGTTTTCAAAACACATAAATGTTTTAGAAAAACTTTTCTTTTAAAATCTTCTAACAGTTATAACCGGATTGCTTCCAATTCCATTTTCATCCTAATCATTCTAAGTTAAATTAACTAAAGGTTAATCTTAGGTGTTTAAGTCATTACCTTTGTCCTAAGCATGAAGGTGCATGCGAAGGTTGAATGATATAGTTTTGAATTTGATCTCCTCCCTTCAAAGATGCTTTCGGATCTTGAATTTGATAGCATCAGACTATGAAATAGGTTGAGATTTTACAATGGACTCTACGAAGCTAGCCAATTAGATATATGATCTAACATTTTGCTTCCATAACAAATTTCAAAAAATTCTAATTCACATGGTTGTATGCTTTTTCAAAATCAATTTTCAGAACAATGCCCTCTTTACCTCTAACTCTATAATCCTCAATTACCTTATTATTGACTACGCAAGTCACATGCATAGTCTATCTCCCTTTAACAAAAGCTCATTTAGACCTTGAGATAGTTTCACCCTAACACTTTTTTAGCCTAACTGTGAGGACCTTAGCAATAATCTTATACAAGCTAGTATCTAAAATTCTTCAATTTCAATTATTTATCTTTTTCGGAATTGAAAAGATAAATGTGGCATTTGTAACATCATTTCATCTATAGGATTCCATTGAAGCCACCTCAAAGAAGGTCTACACCTATAATTGGCAGAATATAACTTAGCAAAGAAATAAAAAACCTCCATCTCTATCAAATCCTCACTTAGTAATCATGCCATCGCCTTTTTCCAACTTATCAATGAATTTCCTTAACCTTTTGCCATTTGCCACTTTATGGAAAAATTTAGAATTGTTATCACCTCCTTCACCCACCAGACTCTATATTTTTTTCTCACACTAATTTCCTCCT